TTGAACTCAAAATCGTAATCAAAATCCACATGGGGATTAATGCAGGGAATGTGTGGCATCTTGAACCGAAGCGAAGAAGGGCGGTGCATTTTGACATGGAAGATCGGAGTTTGGTCAAAGGAGAGTTGACGCTCGCCGTAAATGAGGGCGCCGCTGCCGCCTTTTGAGTGGCGGAGACTCTTAACACCCTTTGGAAGGAAGCTTAAACTTATGGAGAATTTGTTTCTGAATATCCCACCTTTTCTTGCCCATAAAAGGGCTAAACGAAGGATATTCCATGCTCTCCGACCAGAATTTGATGAGCCCTTTTTCTGCATTTTCAGATTTTGGTCAATGTACATTCAAGAATATTGTGATAAAAAATGGGACAAAAATTGTAAAATTTGTAGGCTTTTTAGAATATTTTTTCTGTTCTGAGAGATTAGATACTGATCATGGGCAGTAGAGTGATGAATTTATATGTAAATGAATATTTGTTATGTACGCGTTATGGAGGTGGGGTCTACAGGTTGGTGGTCATGTGGGAAAAGTGTATTTGTTCGCCAGTGGGCGGTGGAAGACACGGCTGTACGCGGCCAGCAGCTCTGTTATTTACTAAAGTACCCCAAAGTACAATTGCATTATTGGTCCACAATCTATTGATTGAATAGCAAGTTGATCTCCAGCCTTTGATGAAGAACAAGTTAATTTTCAATCATCCATTACGAATAATGGGCTATGTACCATCATTCGTATTCATCACTGGTCTTGGAGAGTTTGTGGTACTAGATCCCATCCTATATATGTCGCAGTGGGCTAACATTGTCCAAGCATAAAAATGTGGTATAACATTATTGGATCATATGACAATGACTTTATAGTTATATTTAACTGAATATATAACATGATTCATTAAAGAAAATACATTCAATTTCACTGAACAATAAAGCGGACATTCAGTGTCATCTAGATCAGTGATGATCATAAGTTAATATACATAGCATTACTCATTCATTACAGTTTCTTAATCAATCTCCAATTATGAAACTCTTTTTACGTTAAATTGCCAAGTAGCCCTATAGAAAGCATGTTACATAGTAAAGATGTAGACATTAACGTAAGTTGGGTTGGAAAAGAAAAACTTAACTTTACGGATTTGAATGTATATGGGTTATACAATGATTCAATGGATGTTTTAATATTTCTAACATTGGTATATTATAATGCTGTAATAATGGCCAACTCGTTCTTTTTTAAAGTTAAAAGACCAACTTGCTAGTGGAGCAATAGGATGGGAACCCGTACTGCAATTCTCCATATTGAATGATACATGAACAGCCAAGACAGTTTGTACTTGAAGTCAGCAATCAAAAATAGAAAATAATGAATGTAAACCTTAAAATATTTGCAGGATATTTTAAAACAAATTTCTATATTGAATAGCAGTATGAAAGGGGATTATAAAACTGGGGCAGTGATTAGAAAAGTGGACTTCCCTTTTTGGTTGCGACGTTTACGTTACTATCACAGTTCTCTCTCTGTGGATATCCTAGAAATTAAGGCCGTAGACCGAGTACAAGTAAACGTTATTTTTTGAAAAAAATAATAATTAAAAATGCACTCGACACATCTTTTGATGTAACTGATTACTATAAAAAATAGCTTTACGACTTGAGATTTACTCAAACAACCATGTTATAAGTACAATTTTTTTTGACATCAAGTTTGACAATGTGCCACGTGTTGAAGGTTGAATGACCAATTTTTAAACACTACACACTTTCTCGCGCATTCAAATTTGAATTAACATGAAT